TTGAAAAATTATTTGATACTATGATAATCCCCATTTTGCTTTACGGCAGCGAAGTTTGGGATATTGACTTAGTCATAAAAAAATCAGGCTCAGCATCTTATGAAAAATTTCATATTAAATTTTTAAAAGAAATCTTAGGAGTTCATTGCAAAACTTCAAATAATGGCTGCTATTCTGAACTCGGGAGACTCCCAGTCAAATCAAAAATTATTCTGTTTGCTATCAAATACCTTGATCATTTAATTTCAATGGAACATACATTGGCACATGAAATTTTTATCAAAACTAAAGAAACTAACACATGGTCTATGTGTCTAAAAACTTGTCTTAATAACTTAGGATTTTCTTATTTAACAAATTTTAATATGTCAATGAAACCAGTGCTTGGCATTATTAAACAACGCATTCATGATCAAATATTACAAGAACAAAATGCAAATATAATGAACTCCTCAAAACTGTCTTTTTATCAGAACTTTTGTCTTGATAATAAACGTGCTCATTATGTTGACAAACTAGAGTCACTACACGATAGATCATTTTTAGCAAAAAATAGGTTAAGTGCACACAACTTAGAAATTGAAAAAGGTAGATATGTTGAAATTAATAAAAATAATAGGATATGTAAAGTATGTCAAAATCTTGATATTGAGGATGAAAAACATTATTTTCATTTTGCTATGTCCAGAATATGAAGCACAGAGAAAGATGTTCAAAACAAAACTATCTACTTTTCCTAACTTGGACCAAACAATCCATACTAATGACAAATTGTTAAAATATTTTCATCATTTTTATGTCAAATATCTGATATAAGAAAAAATATTTTAGCTATAAATGAGTAACTACATTGAACTGAATCATATGTAAGTATTTATATAGTATTTTATGAGTACAATACATAATTTGCTACACCAATTGTTTGTATTCTAGTTGTGTTCTACTGTATTTTCATGCTTATCACTATGTTTTCTATGGGCCTTTACCAATTACTGTAATTGTGTTTGTGCCAATAAAATATTTGTATTTGTATTTATTTGTACCTCATGAAATTTCAAAAATCATAATTTGCATAATTGGCAAAGGCATTTTTGCATAAAATAATAACGTTAACTCATTAATTTCTTGATCGTGTCATAAGGCGAAAACAAAAAAAAAACACATCAAGAAGAGGAATAAATAGGCTTGTCATGTCTTATTAATAGATAATTCCGTAAATTCAAGTTTTTGAACCAAACCTGATCCACGTTTCTTCATTCTTCTCCTCTCCTTTAACCCCACTTATCAATTGACCCTAAGCTTTATGAAGAAATCAAGTTGTTGATATACCCTGGTATGTAGTATTATCTCGAATGAACAATTTGAAATATACACTGCAGTCGTCAAAAAAGACACACATACAATAGAAGAATTATAGTGACAAATTGAACAAAGAGATAATTTAGTAAGATAATGTATTGATAATACAGGAATGTGGTGAACAATAGGGATACAATCTAACTGTCATAATTACTCAAGAGAAAGATGCTTGAATTTCTGATTAACAAAATCTACTTGTATGTGGTTTTTGGAGAACAGGTCTTTCAACAATCAACTGAAATTCCCAGGGTACCAATTGCACCCCGTTATTAGAAACCTTTTTGTATTTGTATGAAGGAGAATTTGACTAAAATCGTATACTTGAAAAGAAGAAACCACTTACTATGGCCTTCAACTCGACATTTAGAAATATCGACGACGTATTGTCAATTAGCAATGGTTATTTTCATTATGACGTCGATACGATATATCCCCATCAGCTTGAAATAAAAGATACCACAGAAACTGACACATCTGTCCCCTATTTGGATATCGTACTAGAAAAAGATGTTCATTTAATCTAATTTAACAACCAAGAATGATAATGATAAACGTGATAACCTTAACTTTTCAATCGTCAGCCTTCCTTAACTATCAATATTCATGCATCACCTTCGTATGAGGGTTAAGGATAAATAGCTTTTTTCTTCGAAAATTCAAATATTTTATGCGCCTTTTTCACTTTAGAAGTAATATTTGTTTGATTAAACAACTCAAATTTTGTCCAAGTCATATAACTAGGCAAAAAGTGCAAAAAATGCAACTTTTCAGTTCAGTTTGTCTTTTTTTTTTTAAAAAAAGGGTTTTGAAATGTATGTAGCTTTCTTAATTCAATGTTTCTGTAGATATTTTCAAGAGTGTATTTTAACAGTTCACACAACTAAAATTTATAAATTACATTTCCATTTAAAGAAATATTGCAAATACCGGACTGGTGTAACTCTTCTGTGTGGGATATAGCATTTTTGTGGTATGTATCCTTAAACCTTTCAGACCAGTTGATACGCAAGAGCATACTATGCGTAGGAACAATATCTAAAACGAGGTAAATTTTTATTGACAAACAAGTTGATGAAACAGGATGCAGTCTCGTCTTCATAATAATTATAATTAGTTTAATTCATTTTTTGATTTCAGGTATTTCCATCCTCCTATTATGTCATAGGTTTTTGCAAAAAGTGTTTCTAATTTAAATTCATACCCATTAGAACAATATATTTTCGAAGAATACTAATTAATAGGTGTAATGATAAATATTGTTAATTGCAAAAATTTGAAAATGCATATTTTTTTTATTTAACACACTCTGATTGCACACACAAGTACTCTGAAGTTGACATCAAAGATTTGCTTGAGTATCTGATTGACAATATCTATGTGGTTTTTGGAGACCAGGTGTTCCAACCACAGGCACCAAACTCGCTTGAATTTTTGACTCCCTAGTATATTATATACTAGGGGGTCTGGTGCCTGTGGTTCCAACAATCTATTGGAATTCCCATGGGTACCAATTGCGCTCCGTTATTAGCAGACCTATTTTTATATTCATATGAAGCAAAATTTGTGCAAAGTCTTATGCGTGAAAAGAAGAAAACACTTGCTGTGGCCTTCATATCGACATTTATATATATCGACGACGTATTATCAATTAACAATGGTCATTTCCATTCCTACGTCGATACGATATTTCCTGATGAGCTTGAAATAAAAGATACCACAGAGTCTGACACATCTGTTTCATACTTGAATATTTTACTTGAAAAAAACATTAATGGTAATCTAACAACCAAGCTATATGATAAACGTGATGACATTAACGTTTCTATCGTCAACTTCCCTTACTTATGCAGCAATATACCTTCATCACCTGCACACAGAGTGTATATATCTCAGTTGATTCGATACGCAAGAGCATGCTCTACGTATGAACAATCTCTAAATTAAAACGAGATAAATTATTGACAAGCAAGTTGATGAAACAAGAATATCAACATTCTCGTTTAAAGTAATAATTTCGTAAATTTTATGGTCGATACAATGATCTTGTCAGCACAAATACAATTTATCATTGAGAAAAATGCTGACTGACGTTTTTTCATACTAATTGTTAGTCCATTATTAGTCCATTATACACTGAATTGACGACGGATTTCCGTTATTTCCCAATCAAGACAAGGAGTACACGGCGGGTATGACCGATCAGCAGGGGATGGTCACTCCTCCATGGCACCTGATCCCACCTCTGATGTTTCGGAGGTCCGTGTTTGCTTTGTTCTTATTTTTTGTATTGTTTTATGGACTTGGATATTGAATACTGTTCGTTATCTCCATTTTCTTCCCTTATCAATTATTCAATCTTTTAAAAAATGCTGACAAGGGCAATAACTCCTCAGCTATCTTCATTCTGGCGTTTTCTTCATTGTTCTTCTTACGTAAAAAGTTTCCCTGATATTCTCAATTCAAAAGTATCTTATAAGTAGAAAGTTATTAGGAACTTTCGGCATCATAATTATGCATTTGAACCAGTTTTTACATATTTGTAATACTGTTTACAAAAAAATAATATTGAGACGTATACATTTTTTGTCAATTTAAACTATATTAAATGAAAATAAATGCAGTTTTTGTACCTTGAACCATTAGAATTGTGAGGGTGGAAAAACCTTTATTCCTTTAAATTTGATTTATCTTTTTTCCTCGACTAGCACATCCAATGGGTTCCGTCATCAATCTTTTCAATGTACAAACTTTGGTCATCTGTGGAATTCTTTCTTTTTATGTGGAAGTTTTGTCATTTCTCTGGCTATTTGCTCTTTTAGAAATGTATTTTTATACATGTACGTATATGTCAGTAAATAATAAAAAAATTAAATAAGTAAGAAATTAGAAGATATGGTATTTATTAAATTTCTTTGAATATACAGTTCCTTATAAATGAAAAGCAAAATGTATATAGAAACGACGAAAGAGAAACGTGTACGTTTGTAAAATGATAGTTTGATTAATACACAGTTTACTAAGCATTGCTTTTTTAACAAATGCGCAAGTTCATATAAAACACAAATTATATAAAACAATTAGCCATCTACCTCTATAATTATATAAACATGTATATAAAACTTTTTATGAATTGATTGACATGTGTTCCAGTGCAATCTAAATGCATGACTGCAGCTATAATATTTCATATTTTAAAAAAAAAATCTGCTTGATATTATGTATGTGATCGTTATATATCATCAAATAAAACGCCTGCCAATCAGAGAAACCTGACATCATTATATTACATTGCACAATGTATGTATCAGATTTAAAGGGTGATATGGATAATATTTATGAGAAAAAGAAAACAAAAATATCTATTTTGAAAAAATAATATATACATATAATTCAATCATGAAAACATTTTCTTTCTTGAATTGTCTCGATTAACAATCAATACCCCAACCTTTCGTATAGTTGATTTAAACTTTTTTTATAATTATATTTGTAAAGATTACATACATCCTACAGAAATCAGAAGAACCAACTACACTTTAATTATTCAGCATATATTCTCCTTTTGCATGATGAAAAATGAGATAATTATTGGAAACTCATTTACCTTCAGCAAATAAGAGAAATACGTTTTATAAAGCATATATCGCTGTCGAAATGGAAAAGAGTGGATTGCATAATTATAATGAAAATATCAATGTTCACTTCAACACAAATGCAAAAGGGTTCGGTCAGGGTGCCCTGTCTGTTTATCCAAGTGTTTGAACTTCTAGATCTCTAAGAATATCTAGAAAAAATGATAAGTCAACCAGTATTTTGCTTTAATTTGTGATATAGTCAAGCATACAATATCAAGATTAAAAAAATACCTACATGTTATTATGCTTGATAATCGGTCGCTGAATCTTATACTACAAAATAAAATCATGTTATCATAATTCAGTATATTTGTAAAATATAATGCAATGTTTTCATTCTATGTAATAGTTAATATTCTTTTTTTTTTGATCAAATTATATTTATTTACATCATTCTTAGTTTTTAAAAATTAAATTCCTGGAATAACCATCTTTGACCAAAAAGGATAAGAATTTAATGATAATATAAGCATTCATACCGGTTTGTCTGTGTCAATTTTGTCATAAGTTGTTGATCTTTGACTTTCTGCATATACAGGTGCGGGGCGCAAAGAGAAATTGTCTCCAACAGATTCCACATTTTCTCTTTGGATTGGACGAGGCATGTTCGATGGTTGATAAATCAGAGTCTGTAAATAACAATTACTTCACTTTCAAGTTTATAACATTATCTTAAATTCTCCATTGTTCTACATGCATTAAGTAAATGATTATTCCAATTAATACATTTGAATATTTTCTATGAAAAAATTAAGTTTTCATTAAATATCGCACTACTATAAAAGTATACTTGTATCTTCATATTTGTTTGTACAAGAAAAAACGAAAATTTGCAGTATCTTTTGTTTCACTTGAATTAAAATGGCATTCGCCAACATGGATAATCAATTCCAAAATCAACTTATTAAAAATAATCATAATTATTTCGATACAGTATCTCAAATAATAATGTTCTCTTGGGTATTCTTAAAAATTGGCACAATACTGCTGAAGACAAAAAGAAGCTCATCGCTTTTTTGAATTTGTTAAGGAGTTGTGGATTTTCTTTCAAAAAATGAAGCATAAAGTCGACACTATTCCATTTTATTATTTTTTCGTTTCCAAGTTATCCATTTTAGATATTACCGTTAAAAATCGTGGATTAAATTCTGTTACTTTTTAGATAACTTCTTATCCCTAAACGTTGTATTGGCACACAAATATGTCTCGGACAAAGATTTATATATAGTTAAGATATCCGATTCATAAAAGGACAATTTTCTAACCTTAAATATCCTTCCTATATTATATACTCTGAAACTAATTCAAAGCAGTTTAGAGTAGAAAATTTTCAAAAATGTAATTACCTGAGCAGTAATTATTAATGAATTAAGAATGTACTGAAGTCATGGGGAAAAGCATTTTTTTAAATAGAAAATTAAATACTATGAAAATAAAAAAAATGCTTTGGTGGAAAGATGCATATTATAAGAATAGAAAAACGATTGAAAACTAATTCTTCACCAGATATATTTAAAAAAAATAAATTTTTTTGATTAAAAGCAAAGATTCAAGGTAAAAAATTAGGATATATTGATATAGCTCTTATATGTTGAGACTAAAACATGCAGTATTCAGCCAATGTATACCTGTTATTCAAATTCATTGAATCTGAGGTTGTTATGGATCGGATAGCTTAAAGTGGATTGGTGATGGCTTGACTGATTGTGAGATGGAATATGAAGATACCAAACAGTAATCAACAAAGAAGCAAAAAAAAAAAACAACTTGTAATTACTGTTGTGTGCTTTTTTTTCACAATCGGGAAAACGAAAAATCAGTTGACATCTCAGTGTGTAAATAACCGCTGGACAATTTTTATGGAAACATATTAAGTCAGTAGCTTCAATGACGACAGACTTTTTTTCCATACATAGCCATTATATCGACCAAAGAACTTGCAAAATGATGAGTTTTAAAAGGGTAGTTGATATTATTGTTTCATCAACTTGTTTGTCATAAGCTTGCCACCAATTAGAAAATTTTCATATGTAAGCTATGCTCAACTGAAAAATAGAAACAACATGTGCGGGCAGTAAAGGTAAATTACTACATAAATAAGGGAAGTTGGCAATACCCAATAATAAATTATCCAAACAAGAGGCCCAGGGGCCACAGCGCTCACCTGAGCACATCTGCTAGGAAAAAGCACATATCAGATCAGAACTGAAAGTTTACTGAGGTGGGGGGGGGGCTTGAATTTTAACCCCCCCCCCCCCCCCCCCCGGGGTTCATGATTTGAACAAACTAGAATCTACACTACCTGAGGATGATTCCATATAAATATCACTAATCATGGATTTGAAGTACTTGAAAAGAAGATTTTAAAAGGTATCCCTATATATATACATGTACTTATGTAAAACTTGGGTCGGCCATTTTGGCCCCACCCTAGCCCCGGGGTTCATGATTTGAACAAACTTGAATCTACACTACCTGAGGATGATTCCACATGAGTTTCATCTTTCCTGGCCCAGTGTTTCTTGAGAAGAAGATTTTTAAAGATTTTTCATATATATTCCTATGTAAAACTTTGATCTGCCATTTTGGCCCCACCCTAGACCCGGGGGTTATGATTTGAACAAATTTGAGTCTACACTACCTGAGGATAATTTTACATGAGTTTTATCTTTTCTGGCCCAGTGGTTCTTGAGAAGAAGGTTTTTAAAGATTTTTCATATATATATATATTCCTATGTAAAACTTGGGTCGGCCATTTTGGCCCCACCCTAGCCCCGGGGGTCATGATTTGAACAAACTTGAATCTACACTACTTGAGGATAATTCCACATGAGTTTTATCTTTCCTGGTCCAGTGGTTCTTGAAAAGAAGATTTTTAAAGATTTTTGCTATATATTCCTATGTAAAACTTGGGTCGGCCATTTTGGCTCCACCCTAGCCCCAGGGGTCATGATTTGAACAAACTTGAATCTACACTACCTGTGGATGATTCCACATGAGTTTCATCTTTCCTGGTCCAGTGGTTCTTGAGAAGAAGATTTTTTATATAATGTAAAATTAATTTTTTTCTAATTGAACAAATTATCTCACCCTTGGAAAAGGGCATCTTTCCTGGTCCAGTGGTTCTTGAGAAGAAGATTTTTTAATAATGCCATTAATTTTTTTCTAATTCATAATATTTGAACAAACTTGAATCCCCTTTACCCAAGGATACTTTGTAGCAAGTTTGGTTGAAATTGGCCCAGTGGTTCTTCAGAAGAAGATAAAAATGTAAAAAGTTTACGACGACAACGACGACTACAACGACAACGACTACGACAACGACAGAAAACAGACAAATTTTGATCAGAGAAGCTCACTTGAGCCTTCGGCTCAGGTGAGCTAAAAATGAAACAGATACGAGGGTTGATCCAAAAGTAATGTCACAACTTCGATAAAATTGCTATAAAGTGACGTAAAACAACAAAATTACACATGATGAAAGCTTAATTAATTTCAAATCAGACCTGAAAATTTCAAAGGAATATGATGTATACTTTCCAAAATATCAGATTTTAAACAATGTGCGTTTATGGTAGTCGCCGCACCTAAATATAACGTCATATGACGGATACGCACCGTCATTCTTTCAAGCGTTTTCCCTTTATTTCATCACAAAATATTTGTGATTCGCAAAGACTTTCACCAATTTCACTTTCTTTAAGAATTCTTGGTACCATTATACACTCAATCTTTTCATAATTAAGCCCTCTGTCAAAATATTTTGAACAGTAGCAGAATACAAACTTAAAAATTCACATGTTACTCTATCCCTCTGTGTTTTTGACAACTTCAGACACCATTGAACGTTTCCGTCCGATCTCCTATCTTTCGGTCTTTTTATCCTCTGCTGATCATTCAATGACCCACCATCCGACCAAAATTGCTGAAATCATCTATTACGAAGTCTCTAATTTATATTCTTTATTCTGTGAGTCTTATTTATTAACACAACTGTCGCTAGTGATGATTCCCATATTTTGAAGCAAAAATGCATTACACTTCGTCGAGCCGTTTTTTTCCCGTTTCGACAATTTCGACAATCCCTTTGTTCACTTCAACAGAGTAAAACAACAATATTTATGATCACAAATACCAATGCCGACATTTAATTTTCAATAAAAGACTAGAAATTGACTTGAATTGTGTCTTTTAAAAAAATGAGAGATTAGGTGCTTTTTAGAATCTTTTTAATATGTTTGTATTTTTCATTCTAACAAAAGAAAAACTTTAAAAAACTTGACGTTCAGTTGTGACGCGGCGACACCCCCTATGCTCTATATTTTAAACATCTATAAAATAAATTCAAATAAACATAATCAATTGAAAATTTCAATGTTAATTAGATTTGTATTTGTGCATCTTTTGGTATAATTTATTTGATAATATGACGCCAAATATAAAAGATATGGACACTGTGACATTACTTTTGGATCAACCCTCGTATGTCAGTTTCTGTGATACCATTTATTTCAATTTCGTTAGGTATATGGTTCGACTTATAAATCGACTCTGGTTAATTATTTATGCGTCGTCAATATATCTTAATATTGAGGTCTTATCAAGTGTTGTCATTGTGTACATGTTGTGAGAAAATGTTAACGAAAGAACACAATCAAATATAACAGAAGTTCACCTACCTAGAAATAAATGCTCTACTAAAAATATGTACAAGATACTATAACTTACGTTTTCACCTAATACGTCATCTTCAACTTTCTTATAAAGCCGTCTCCCTCCTGATTTCCCTTCAATATATACGTATCTATCCTTACTGGTATAATTGTCGCCACTTCTACCATTTTGATTATCTGTATCGTTTGTACGATTCTGTCCTCGGTAGAAACTTCCATGAGAATATTGGAGGCTGCTTTGAGAATGTCGTCTGTAAGGATCTTCCACATCACTATAATAGTTGTTTGTCATCGGTTGTCTGTATTTCTCGGTAGATTCGCTACGTGGTCTGTCGGGGAAGGAGTTAAGATTATTTGTTTGGTCTGTATAGTCATTACGCAAAGGCTCAGGTTGGTATCGCATTCTTGCTTCATTCTTCTCCTCTTGGAACAAAGGATTGACTTTTCCATAATCAAGAGGAATGTTTTCTAACATTTTATTGTCTTTATTCATTGCTTCAATGATCTTTGAACTACTTTCACTCTCTGAACTGTAAAAAAAGAATCATTATGCATAAAACAGTAATAATTTTCCTAAATGAATTCGTTCATTTATTTGTCTATTTTATTGTTTAACGGTTTTAGTCAAACAGAGGGGCCATCACATGAAAATAAAATGCTACAAATATAAACCTATAAAAGGAAGGCGCTCAAGATCATTAATCCGTGAGAGTTCTTTTTTTGTGCCAGCGTCTAGCAACTGCGACGCAAGTTCTAGGTTTATACGGTGTATCCGAAGGACCAGTCTCCGCATCCCGTAGTGGGATCCTAACCCAGACGTAAGGATCAACCGCTAACGCAACGACTCTACATAATTTATTTAACAGTTATCTTAATGAATAGAAACACTTACCCATCTTCCTTAACACTTTTTTCCGAACTCCAGCGAACACAGATGCAGATAACAACAATTATAAGTATAATAACAGCACCGCCTCCTACACCACTGGATATAGCTATGATTGTGAGTTTGCTTAAGGGTATGTTTTCATCGTCTGTCTTTGATTTTGGCGTTATTCCCTCTGTGGTACTTTTCTTAGTGGGTATAAGAATTTGCTTCTCACATGTTTCTCCGTAAAAGATATTTGTTTCATTTGATTGACAACTGAAAAGAAATACAAATAATATCTTTGCAGTAATTCGATATGTGATATCTTGCCCAAGACTATCATTCTTCCGGGGAAGATTTTCCCATTACATTTTCGGTTGTAATAAAACGAAGGGCTTCAAAAATATGACAAATAATAAAGAAAATGGTGTAAATGTCTACAAGGAATGCATAAAAATTTGGAAATTAATGCAATTTTAACAGACTTTAAAGAAATAGACTAAAGTACATGTAAGTATAGATATGCAACTTGAACGAGGTACATGCATTGATGCTGTAATGACACTTTCATCCCAGGCTAAGAAGAAGACGAATGTATTTGCACAAAACGATTTCTAAAACTGTTTCAGAGATTTTGATATTGATAAAAAATGTTTCGAGATCAAATCGTTCATTGTTTCAAGCATATATGAAGAAAGTTTGAGATTATGAAAGTTTTCATTGCTGCCAAGGCAATTGCTGTTCATGCCTCGTTGCATTCACCATCTAAATCAAAAAATGGATTTATTTTGAAAGAACTGTCTTAAAATCTAGGCAAACAGAATGCAATGACACGGAAAATTTATTCTTATGTTTTGATACCACATTTAAACTTAAAAATTAATGTCAATGGTATTAAAAAGGTAGCTGAACATGACCCCAAGCGGTATAAGTGTCTTTATAAATATGGGCTTTTGCAATTCCATTACATTGTATGCATGATACAGAACTGTGCTGTACACAGTAAGTAAGTACCTGAAATACAATTTTATTTTCCAGAACTCTTTTAAAAATACCTGACAAAGGAAATACATGTTATTATGTTTATATCAAAACTCATTCAATGTGTATATTAAATAAATAATATGGCAGTTATCTGTTGGATGTTAGAAACTTAGAACTATTAGAAATTAATTTATTTAAAATATTTTTCAAAAATGAAATGGATGCATGAACGCTGCCATTCTTCCATACAATTAAAGGGTATCCTCTCTTCTCTGCATCTTCTCCTACCGGGTGTATACCATTCAATAAAATTTAACATTTTCACAGATCATTACAGTCACATTGTGCATCTTCTATTTTACTTTTACTCATCCTGCACTTATTTCGGGTCTTCCAATAAAAACACAGACTTTCCTATTCTAACCGTGGAGTGCAGGGAACGTTGTGAGCTCAGTGCTTATCGCGCTCGATACATGTACTAAATGTGTTCTTGTAATTTCTATCACTAAAGGTAAATGACGAACATAATATGCACAGTTCATATTATTATTAGTAATATCACATATCTTTCTAAAATATATCACTAAAATCAAGTTTTGATTGAATAATATAGTAATGACGTTTCATGAAATGCATAACTGGGTATATAAACGGTTGCTTTTTTTCAGTTTTATCTAAATATGCCAGTAACTTAGATCCGGCAACCGTAACCGCCACCATATTCTTGCTTTTTGCTATTTCAGGGTTGCTTATTAAAAGTGAAAACTTTTAAATGAATTCACGATGCTTACAATGTGAGTAAAATCTGAATGTTGTTTGTGGACCTCGCCTTGTATCTAGTGTGTTCTTTGAAGAGTAAGTAAGAACTTTTGTACAGCTGTTTCGGAGTTTATTTGCAAATTTTATTGATTTATAAATTAATATGTAAAATTAATTTAGTTAGATTTGTATCGTATGTTATTTTCAACTAGTTAAATATCTAAATTCAAAAAACAAATCATTTACGTTATTCAATTTAAATTCATACCTGCACTTTGGCTCTCCTTCTGGGGAGACAAAACAATAACCACGGTTAACACAATTTTTCTCCTTCGATTTGCATTTGTGATAGCACGTCTTATTAATACACTTGTACTCAAAAGGACAGGAACATATTAAGTCTTTGAGTATTGTGTCTATGTCTAGAAAAGTAGAAAAAGCATATAAAACATTCACATCTCAACCTTCATTAGAACTATTGAAGAATCTTTTTGACACCCTTAAGATATTTTCAAACCATATATTAGGTCATTGGAATTCTTAAAATATATCTTTGGTTTAACATCATGACAATATTTTATCGAAAGGAACTCGGTTTGATCCCGCGACATGAGCACCCCTACTAATGTGTTCGGAACCTTTTATTTTTCGGTGTTCTGTAGATTATAAAACCCGATGAGTTCAGAGTAGCTCTGGCGGTGGCTCTGGCGGGAGTTAGCGAGACTACAGCGAGATAAGGTAAATTATTCATGGAAATGTGGCTAGGAAGTGACTTGCACGTGGAGACATGGTAAACAGAAAAGTTTTTCACCACCCTATAATATTTGTAGAAATGTACTTCAATCGATCTCTCTTGAATTCATTCAAACCTAAATGTAAAGTATTTTCTATGATACAATTTCTGCAGTCAATACAGTCATATGAATTAAAATTTCTTTTAGGACAAATATTCTTGCATGGGAACCGGGACTATATTTTTTGCGTCAGATTAGCATACCAGGCACCAACATGACTTTAACTGACAAATCAGCTGAATGAGAATTGTATTATTGGTTACTATAAATACTACAGGAATTTTACGCTTGAAAGAAATGGAAAATCTTATGGCGATCGGAAAGGCACAGCGTACATTTTTCCATCTATTTCGTAAATGAAAAGCATTTTTTTTAATTGTATTATTTTCATGCTCACAATGACAAACAATTCATTTGTTAAATAAACGGTGGAAATCTAGGTTACTCAAAGTCATGCTGCAATTGAAAGCGATTTGCGTCTCTATTACATGTAATTCTTTTGTTGTAATATCGGTGAATACAATTGGCAGGTGGATTCCCAGGCCAAAACACGTGATCACGAGTATAAACTGTTTTGTCCATTTAAATGCATAAGAGATGCTGCTGTTTTACTTACCCTTGTTGAAGCGCTGTTGTTCTGAACTTGACACAAAATACATTTTATTAAACATATTTTTGTCTAATTACATATGTAACAAAAGATTAAAAACGCCCGTGACATCTTTCATACTTTGTAATCTTTGTATTTTGTTCATAAGAACATTTTTGCACTCCATTGACATGATCATAGATTGACCTGAACCACGTGTTCGAAGTAAAATGTAAATATGTATTTGGCGTGAACGTTGCCATTCAACGATTGGTCAGTTGCTCGTGGTAAGATCCTCTGTGCGTATAAATAACAATAGCCCAAATAAGGCAAACAAAGGTTTGTCAGTGTAGATGATTTTTTGCCAGCGTATCGGTCGCAAGTGTAAACTAATTTTGGCCGCACAGTAAATTAACAAGATATATTGTTATTTTAACCCCCCCCCCTCTCATGATGTTGAAATTCATGAAAGTCTTTCAGAAAGGTCTGGAAACACATTCTTCACAGGGCATGTTTTCAAAAGAAACAAACTATAGCAATTTCCTGTTTACTGCCAATTTTATTTATAAAACCCGTTCTACCCTATAACCTTTGAATAGGTCAACCTAAACCACGTGTCTTGAATTTAATTCACAATAACATTAGTAAGGGTGGTAAGGATTGACTCCTTTCTTCGCGACTCAAGAGAGCAGACGCTCTAACCACTGCACCACGCGGGCGACTTTTACACCTAGAAAACTTTTCAGTATTTCACGACTTTTGAATCTGTGACATTTCTATTATAAGCCCTAGGCTATAAACGTAAAAATGCATTAATTTTTAATACAAAGTGACTCTTAAAATAATTTAATTACCCAGTGCTCGTATATTTACAAAATTATGGATGATAATTTTTAAAATAATTGTTCATTCTTTTTATAACACACTTACTAGTATTATAGATTTCCACAGATCTCTTTTCAGTTTTTGTTGTATCTACTTTTTCACCAAAAAACGTGTAGTTTTGCCAGTCAGTAGTAGCTGCTTTGAGAGCCATATTAATGGAATTATTGGTTTTGGCAAGACCTTTACTTGCATTTAAAATAACTTTATAGTCAGCTAAAATACTGCCTTCACTGTAAATAAATAAGAAGTAACCAGCTTTTAAAATGCTCTTAGATAATATGTGTATATATTGATTATAAACATTTTATTATGGGTATGTCCATGTTCTGGTAATTTATTTAAAATCAAATTAAAATGTGGATGAAAGAAAAAAGACTATTATGCTTCATTTCCCCATTAAATATACTTTTTTGTACTTTTATTGCACTTTTAGTACATACAAATCGCTAAAAAGAAAAAAATTTTAAAGTATGTTTTCATTTCATTAAGTAATGAGACCAATTACAAACTTATTTGACCTTAAAATGATTCATTTGAAAGTGCGACAAAGACAAAATAAATAACTTTGTGATGTACTTTGATTTTTTTTTATATTAAATCAGGAGCTGATTTAAATTTTAATAAAATGTACATTATATAAATAATAAAATTTTTAATTGATTATTTTAGGTTTCAACAACTGGGTTAAACACTTTCGAACACAATGGTAAAAGTGATGAATAACGATATTTTGGATTCATACATTAAAGTGTAAATCATTTGCTGTGATTAATAAAACATGTTAGCTATTACACGAATAATAAATAAATTTCTAGTTTGATAAAATAAATTGTCTATACTTACGTCAGGTTAGTCACTTGTAACGATATAAATCCTTGCGTATTTTTGAATTTAGGGGTTAGCTACAATGAAAAAAAAAACATGTTTCTTCATTCCTTTGTATGAAGAAATACGAGAGAGAGAGAGAGAGGTTGACGGGTCACAATGCTTACTTGATCATGATGAATTTTGTTCTGCTCATAAAAAACCAAGAAATAATTTACATATCCCAAGGATATTAAGTATATATCAACATCCATTCTTCATTATATTTACGTAAAGTATATAAATTTGCTTTTTTTTTTCTAAGATTGACAAAAACTGTAATTTCGATACCACTCCTGTTTAATATTTCTGAAACCATATGCTTATTACAACTGCCATGATTGATATAGCTTGAAACATAGATCCACAACATGAGAAAATATTTATATAAATACTTCTTTTCCTGAGTCAATGGTTATTATACCCCCAGCTTGAATTATACCCCCTCCTTAAAAAGACATATGGGAGGACATATATAATAATCGGTATGTCTGTCTGTAAAACCCCAGTCACATTTCCAAAAACAATCAACGGCCGACAGTTTTTGAAGCAAAAATGGGATTCTTCGGGTGACCGTCCTCAGTTCATCGGCCGTTGTCTTGCCCGATTTTGACCTCTCTTTTGGTCGGCCGACCAATTTTGTGTCCATCGGTTCAAGTTATAATTTTTTCTGCGTCGGTGGCCGATTTCTGCTATAGAAGTTATCCGTCGACCAACCTCCGATCATCGTGCGACCATCGGCGGTCAGTTTATTATGTCGGTCGTCCGTCCGTCGTTCGACAATAAGGGTGTCAAATATTTCGGCCGATCGTTAAAATCAAACTGTAGTTCAGAGCTCGATGATCGGGCGACGAATGGCCGACATGTAAATATTTAACCTATAAAGGATACATAATACAAACAAAATTTTGATGCATGAATTAATGTATTTTTGAAAGGAAATAACATAATAATTAATCCGTAAGACAAAAAAAAAATCATAATTATACTTTGCTGCTTAGATATGCGCCATTTGTCGTTTATTATGCAATTTATACAAAATTTTGCACACCGATCTAACAAAATTATGCCACTTTGCCCTGCAAGCATTACTCACATCACCTATCTGAATAAAGATCTATGAAAAATATTGCTGATTTCTAAAGAGAAAAGATTTTTTGTGTAATTTATCCAAGGCATCGGTTTTTCCAGGAATTAATGTGACTGCTCCGTGTCGCCCGATACTTGTGTCGACCGATCATTTTTTCAGCCGACAAGACCAGAAAATTTAGTCGCCCGACCATCTGCTTAAATGTGACCTTGGCATTACGCTTAGGAGTACCCATCTCTTATCCACAACTCCTCTCATACATGTACCACTGAATGAAATTTAATGCAGCTTTCACAGAATCTTTATTACACATTGCCATTGTGCACCTCCTATTTTACTTTTTGATTCGACTCACATTTTGGGTATCCAACAGCAAAAATGGACATTGCCATTTTATTCATATGAGAGGCGAGGGTATAAATTTAGTGAGCTCATTGCTCACAGTACCTCTAGTTTTCGTGTTAATTCTTTTAAATATCATTTCTAATGTATCCTAAACGTTAATTTACTTTATATTATTTAGCTGGCCATAGGCCAAATTTTTAAGAATAGATGTGTATTATATAACGAAGAAAAAGGGGATGTACGAGAGGGGTATCAAAAAGTTCGTGGATTAGCGCCATAAAATTAAAACCGCTGTTTGTAAATCAATGAATTTTAAAATATCTTGTGAGCATCATCTTTTCTATCCATAGAATAAACCGCAATGCATAAATTTTATTTGTTGATAAACTAGTAATATTTTTGCAAGTAATGGTAAGTCCAGGCGGTGCAACCTCGAACTCTTTTGATATGAACATTTGACATCAAAAAATCTCGTTAAATCAGGTATGCGTTAGGTCAGTATTGTTTCATTCAATATGAAAATTTATTCAATTTTGGAAGATCTATGAAATTTTATCGTAAATTTTCATGGAGTGTCCAAACAAATAAGGCCTTGAAAATAACGTCAAAAGGGGGTAGGGTTTCTTTTCCAGTATTCTTTGCCCCTGAAAAAAACTAGTATAGACAGAGGAAGTTCTTAAACTGGCTACTGAGAAATAAAATGCATCCAGAGTACGTTTTTTTTTAAATATAAGAATATATTCAGAGAGAAAAGGGATGCACAGTTAATAGTTAATGTCAATGTTAACGCACATGTGTTGTGGATATTGAACTCCAAAAAGCAAAATATGCTGGCAAAATCAAGCGAGGATCATTCCAATGTATAAATCCATTTGCAATAATATATGCATTGAAAGCCACTGTTCATGGCAATTTAAAGCTATATCTATAAACAGGAAGGTTTTAAGACCTTGCAGCACCTGTAATGTCATCAAACTAAGTGTATGAGGTAGAAGATGCAGACACTGAAAAACAGTAACGTTGTCGGACGTCCAGAAACTAAACGCCAGGGGATCATATAATGTCGTTTTTATTTTATAGTAATTTTGCAATTAATGAAAGTATCAAGCTAAAATTTTCATCATATTTTGTTGTTTTATGTTCCTTATTAATTTTGAAAGCAGACTACATTGTACTAATTTAGAGCCTCTGTCCACAAACTTTTTGATCAACCCTCGTAGGATTTTTGTTTCATTTAAAAACACTTTCTTTTTAAAAATGTTTCCCTAAGTATTTTTATGTCAGAATTTGACTCATTATTTGGTCTCACAAGAGCCCACTCTAGCCTAGCAGTCTGCGATTTTGAGTCTTCATTCTAAAATGACTGACAGTGATTTTACCGCTATTCAAAGAAGTTTTCAATAATTTTTTTATCACACACATTGGCCATTGTATACGAGATTCATGATCACTTCAGAACACATTACGCCAGTATTTATAAAGTTAAAAGAAAATTTTACAAACAACTAAAAAATTAAAAATATGTCCATAGGACATGGATATCCCGCTAAATGTATATTACTAGTACTAAATTCAATATTAAAATTTGTATTCGTGTATGAAGTTTGAAGAGGATATCTTGAACAGTTTCTTTAAAATTGAAACTGAAATCTAAAAAAAAAATGGATATGGATGATAAATTCTCAACAATTTATTTATATGTGCATGCTTACTTAAAAAATATCTTCAAAACTAAGCAAACACAAACTAAAGAGAAAAGAGTTCAAAGTCACAGGAAAGTGCAAGGTGAAAAATTTTGATGCCGTTGAATAACTCTCACTAATACTTATCAACATATTATGTTTCATAAAAATATCTTGAACGATTTACTTAATATTGAGCTAAACACTTATTTTATTGCGTGGACCTTGAGGTTATATAGGCAGAGTTAAACCGGATGCTTTGGGCTTCGTGAGGTACCCGTACGCAAGAATGCTTGCCTTTAGGACAATTCGCTCTCATGGTTAGAACTCAACAATTATTGGCAAACCTCGCTTGAAAACTACATCGTATTTAATTAATTAGTAATTAGTTCACTACTGAATTAATTATCCCCTTACATTCCAAAAAATCCCCTGTCAGTCCCTGACATTTTCTTGTCGCTCCCTGACTTTCTTATGATGTATTGCCGTTTATCCTGACTACCCTGTCCACTCCCTGTCGTACACTGATATTGTACATGTCTACCCTATCTACTTTCTGTCATCCCCTGACATTCTCGGACATCACTGTCCACTTCCTGTCGTTCCCTGACATTCTCTGACCACCCTGTCGTCCCCTTTCTTTGTCCCTACGGGACATTTGTCGATCTGTGCTGCATGTACATCTTTCCACAGGAATCGGCAGTTTTATCAATAAAAACCAATGTAAATATAACTTATGAGCTTTGCTAGCGTAGCGAGCGAAGCGACAGGAATGCAACGCGTTTTTTGGCGATTTCTGCTCTGGCGCTTTACTTGGCCAAAATAACAAACGCGTGCGACTCAATTGATGTCAGTTGATGTGTCCCACCAAATTTCTGGTGCAGTCCCCCTCTTAGTCGCCGTCATTGACTCCAAAATCTAACATAAAGAACATTTCGAAAAGAATCAGCTGCCATGAAGGTTTTCATGTGACGTCATGATATATTCAAGATGTGTTCATTGACTTAGGTTAGTTTTACTTCATTTCAAAAACATTTTTTGGTATATTATTGCTTTAAAAATATAATATTCACAAATAATTCAATGATTGAACATTTTTTTGAAATTTTTTAAATGTTTAAATGTAGGGGAATCCAAACTCAGTTCAACATCGAATCGCGACAAATTGAGACACACTTTTGTTACTTTAACTAAATAAAGCGCCAGAGCAGAAATCGCCAAAAAACGCGTTGCATTCCTGTCGCCACGCTAGCGAAGCTCACAAGTTATGTTTACATTAGTTAATTGATAAAACTGTCGACTCCTGTGATTTTTCCAATGATAGACTCTTCCGCATATAAATCAAAAAAAAATCCTAGTTGTTATAGTTTACCGAAAATAGATCATTTTTTTATAACTAAAAAAACTTCAGACCTTTCAGAAATGGAAGTTAACATAATTGCGAGCTATTAAACTACTATCCCTAAAACTACGCAGATCATTGTTTAAAAAATTAAACTTTGAGTTACATGTAACCTGTACCATCTTTTCGAGTAACCAATGAACTTGTCCAAGGACGCATTGAATCCTAAGCGAAAAAGCGTAGAATCTCAGTACAGAAACTAGCTGCAGTAATGAAGCCCTCTCCCATTTTTTTGAGAGAGTATACTGTAATTGTGCAAGTGATTCACTCCCGTACAGATTTCGGCTTAATTTATACGTATTATAAGTAAATGGATATTTATTTAACGTGTCTTACCCGAACTCCAAAAATGTAATTTCTGTCCATTCTGTTACAAGAGTGCATGTTTAAGTTATAATGGCACTATTTGAAGCACAAACAAATTTCAATATGATTTACAAAGTTTTTTAACATGTCTTATTAAACTTATATTACTTAGAAAAATAAAAGTAATTGTTTTTATTATTAAAACTCAAGATATGAAGTCCAGTTTTCCTTACTGTTACCATATTAATGGTAACATGAATGACAGTAACAGGATGGACGTTTCTCATATAAATCACCAGTTAGTTAGTATAACGTACTCTTTTTGCATCATTCAAACCATTTCTTTGTAACTTAGTTAATCTAATTGTTCTAGCAGAATAAATAATTTAAAGAGTACTTGTATAATATGAAGGTAACAGATAGGACGTATTTTAATTATACTCTACCAATAAGACAAACTTATCGACCTTTGAACCCTTTCTTTACTCACTTTCAAATCATGGCGCTCATAAACTTGAGACAACAGAAAATGATGATATAATGTGGATCATGAAAACAGTTCCTAGGAAAGTGAGATAACTTTTATTTTAACATTTTCTTTTTGGTAACAGGAATGACATAAACTTGTAGGACATGTCACTTCCTGAATGTTAAATGCACAATACTAGTATTTAGTGGGCGGCATAAGTAAAACAATCATATTAAATTAATCTGTAAATGAATTCAATTAATATGAGGTGCAAAATTTGTACATATCTTCATAGGGTAATATTTTCCCCATCATTTAACTAACCACGTTATAAAATTTTTGTTGAAGTGACATGGTTTTACTGTTAAATTTTACTCGGAATGCATAGAATATTTTTTATAAAACACCTGGGAGATGATCATAAAATAACTTATAAGCTGTATGACCATGTATATTAACCATCGGGGAAAAATTTCACTCTTAAGAATGTTTTTCCTATTTTTGAAAATGACCCATATATCTTTTTTTTCGCATATGTCAACAGCACATCTAGAATTTATCCGCTATGTTTATTGACCTTGATTGATTTTATTTTGGGATAGCCAATGACAGTAGGGATCTATAAGGAGCGGATTTCTATGGAACTTACCTTATTTTAGGCATAAATATTGCTGTTTACGAATAAATGTCACATGAAATAGTTTTATCTATCGATGTTTAGTGATGCCATAGAACACAATCATTTAGTTACCCCAACATTTGCGTCATGCGAGAACTGTCATGGCTTCTGGGGAGAGTGAATTTTTTAAAGACCACTTGTCAGATGATGAATATGAAATTTTCAATGAGGAGCTCTTACTAGCTACCAAGAGTGTGGACAAACATAACTCTGAGCGAGTTTGGACAAACATAAATTCTGAGGAAATGTTTGCATACATGGACTAAATTCTAAGAGCTAATTATAAACCTTATATATCAGCTCTAGCTCTTGAGGCTCACACATTTTGCCTAGTGAACAAGGCATCCACATGGATAATTAGAAACAAAGAGGATATGGAAGGCTCTATAAAAATTATTTCAGAAACTAGAAAATCCTTTGCCACTAAAAGAGATTTATTCTTAATAAAATTTTTTTAAAGGAGAAATTCAACGACAAAGAGAGGAGAAACAAGAAGAAGAGTTCCGAAAAAAAAAAGCTGAAAAAAGACAAAAAAAAAACAAAAAACAACTAGTGCAGCTTGAAAAACATAGTGATAAAACTATTTTCTATGGTTTAAGGAAATCAGCCCGCGAGTGTAAATTGAGAATAACGGAGTTTAGAGAGCAGAATATTCTTGAACAAAAACTACTCTCATTTTCTAGAAAGAGTCATGACAAAAAAAAAAAAAAAAAAAAAAATCAAGAAACTCATGTCAAATCTATTAAAAGTTCTGAAATCTGTTTAAATTTACCATGAACATCAAATTGCTTCATTCCTTTTACATTAATTGCCTGTGCTTATTTGTTTCTATATAATCTAAACACTATTACAAGAAAAATTCAAGCTTTTGTAATTTTATATAGCTGTCAAGTGCCGGTATATACCATACATTTAAGGCATGTACTTTTTAACATTATAAGCAAGCAGTACAAAGAAATTGTACAAGATTTAAGAATTATGTTCTAAACTCAAATTGCACACACAAAAAAGAATTCAGCTAAAGTGCATTAATATGATAATTTATTTTTAACTACATCCTGATCATTTTCAAAGTTTAAAGTTTGACTCATTTTTGTAAGCATTAACGTTGGTGCAATAAAGTGTCTGTTACACACGAACATATTATTTCAATTTAATTCAATATAACAACTTATAACTAGAAAACCTTCAAAATGATATAAGACATAAATAATATCAATTATAAAATTTGACTTAATTGTGGATGCTACGTGGATGCTACAGAGAGAGAGAGAGAGAGAGAGAGAGAGAGAGAGGCAAATTATATACCTGTACTTACTGTTTTAGAAATATTGTTCTTCAAATATTCCAAATCGTTATGTTTTGATAAAATCAATGTTAAATTTGCATTGATTACCAAGACAAAGGGAATTGCTACATTAGGTTTGATAACTGAAATAAATAAGGATATGTGAAACTTAAACAAATATACAGTAGAAAATATTCATTTTAATAATTTTGTATTACTGTTTCGTACTTTACTTTTTTCAGTCTATATTTTTCTGTTGTATTTTAAGTAATGAATATTTTGTTAATAATTCTACACACAAATAAAACATATGCAATAGATTTCATTTGATGTACAGAAACACACACTTGCTGGAAACTCCGGATAAGTGATTGGTTGTGGAGTTGTCTCTTTATCTGTAAAATAAAACAAAATAAAGGGTAAAATTAATACTTTTTAAATAAGGTTTAAGAAAAATCTAATAAAATCGATAATTGATAAATTTGTTATGAAAAAATACAAAAAAAATATATAACTTAATTACAAACTAATATCGACCTTTCAATGCTGAAGCCATAAGTCAATAGAGATATCTTAAAGATCTATGAAAACAACAATTATTAGAATAATAATTGTATTTATGTATTTAATGCGATAATTTGTTGGGAGGTTTTCTGAAACATTTAGGTTGGTAATTTGTGAAAACTATCAGATCCACGCCTTTCCTGATGGATTAATTTAATAGAATGTGTAAGGTCACGCGGTCAGCTCAGCGAGTCATTCATACTCGCGCGCTCACCATCGCTAACATGAGGCGCGTCTATTTTGAAGAAATTACATCCCCTTATTATTTGTTAAATTGTTCACATTTATACCGTCATTTTAATAAATGACATTATCCATGTACATGAAAGTGTTTTATTTGACTTTTACAAAATTAGCAAAAACAAGCTGCGGTGATCTTGCCTATAAGCATTAGAAGACATAAAATATAATTTCTTTTAGGTGTGGCATTACTTCTTAATTCGGAACTTTGAAATCGCTCTAAACATCGCGCCACTCCGGCGACCCTTTTTTTTCTCTGTCAAAGTTCGAAGAAATATTTATGTTTAAGGGGGCCGACTATAGTTTTATTGTGTGAAAACTACAATAGCGAAACTCTTCATTTTTATACCATATATAACTTACATTAACTTCAGTGTACATGCAAAGTTTGGGGGAAATCTACCGTCCAGGTATTTTTGAGGGACCGTCTCTAAATACAGGTACATTTACTATAGGATTATGTAGGAAAATGCCAAATTTTATCCTTTAAAGCAAATTATACAAATACTACAATAGACATTTTGTTCAAACTATAATATTTGATGAGCAATACTATATTATACAATACTGGGAGTATATATAAAAAAACACAGAATTCTACTTTCTGGTTACCAGAGGGGGCATCTCAAAATGCAAAAAGTTAGCAATTGTTACTCTTTTTATAGAGTTATTACAAAATATGACGTACACAACGGATTCACATGAAAACATCATAAAAATATTGGCGATATTCTCAAATTTCTATGTTTTAAATTTTAAGAGCGTATGTTTATTATTTTTTCTTTAATAATATTTTTATTACCCCTTTCTTTAAGAGCTTCAGATTATCATAACATCAAAAACACACTGCAACGATGTCAACCTACCTATCAATTGCAAAGTCGGTTAAAAAATCAGTTATATCAAATTGTAATTACATTTTTATACCTATAATTTAGTAAATTTGTTTAATTTTAATAATTAAGTGAAAAAAGTTGCATTAAAACAGTAAATACGCTTCATTTTACTATGATGCGCGAAATATAGCGCAATGGAAACTATAGTCGGCCCCTTAAGCTCAATTTAATTGAAAATAATTAAGATTTTAAAATGTTTTTAGAATATAACAATTGCCCGTGTAAAATTATTTTTTTTTAGTGAGTTTCATTTCCATAATTCTTCTTTCAAGGTCAAAATGGTGTTAATACTTCTTTTAAACAAACCGTCTCTTAAACGCTTTATATTTGAAGCGAAAATCAATGCAAGTGTGAGTTGGTTAGTGTTGTAATTTAGACAGTTTTTCTCTTTTGTGACATAACCATTATAGAACGTGATCAGAAACTAAAACTAAAGCGAGTAACATTTGTATCTTTAAGTTTTACCCTTCTTTTTACATACAAGTCATGGACTGGCATTGTTAAATCATGCATTTAACGAAAATAGTTATAATGTAACATTATTTGACATGGTATAATGTAAAAATGACATTAAAAACAAATTCATCGATTTTTTTAATTCAGATATAGCGCCTTGTCAATAAGCCTAACACAAGTGACAATACACACATTATAATTTTCGTTTTCGAAAGAAAGTACAAGCGGGGTGAAGATTTTTGAAAAATAATTAGCTGATTGCAAAATATTTTCTCCTTCAGCTGCGTGACCAAGTACAGTGTATGCGATCCCTGTTTCTGAATAGTGATAAGATTGAAACCAACATTTGAAATAAAACAAACCAGTTCTCTATCAGAGACAATTTAATGACACATTCCTCGAGTTGTAAAGTGTGATTATGATAGATGGAAATATATATATTCATTATCTTCATGTTTACCTCCTGAGATGTCACTGGATGTTGTAGGTGGTTTTGTTGTTGAAGATAAGCCTGTATGTTAAAAAGAAATATACTTAATTACAAACAATATAAGTTTTTAAAGAATAAAAACAAGCTAAAAGTTAGGTAAGAAAGGATGAAGAAAGTAAATTTTTATTTATAAAATTTATATCAATCTTATGCATGTTATAAATTGCTTACTTGCTTTTGATTACATTCGATCATTTTAAAATTTGTTTTAAGACAATCAAAGTTTATCAAGTACTGAAACTGAATCACCCCTACTAATGTTATTGTGATTTAAATTCAAGACATGTGGTTTAGGTTGATCTATTCAAAGGTTATAGGGTAGAACAGGTTTTATAAATAAAATTGGCAGTAAACAGGATATTGCTATAGCCTGTTTCTTTTGAAAACATGTCCTGTAATAAATGTTTCCAGATCTTTCTGAAAGACTTTCATGATTTTCAACAGAAAGGGGGTGGCTAAAGGAGGGGATGTTAAAACAACAATATATCTTATACTTTTCGGCGAAAATAAGAGCTCACTAGTGACCGATTCGCTGGTAAAAAATGTGTTTTATCAACCTTTGTTTGCCTTATGGTCAAGACCTAGTAAATGAAAGATGCCTACAGATTTATCAAATTTGAGAATTAAATTCCTTTAATGACGCTTTTTAACTTTAGCTTGGTCAGATAAGGTGTTTCGGGGCATAATTTGTTGGTAAACAAGATGGAAAACTGTATCTTAAACTGTCATTTTCAATGAAATATTAAGAAAAGCAGTCATGAATATGGGAGTTTTTTCGTATTCGGCAAAGGAAATGTACCCAGATTGCCTACAGTCTCTCAGAAAACGGTAATAAGTATGTTCATGGCCTCTTCTTTAAATCAATATCAAATTTAATATAGGTATCCGGTTTACTTTTCATATGATTTCAAATTGAATGACATGAAAATACCCTATTTTCTACATAATTCTGCTAAAGAAGTAAAGTACGGGAAAAAGAAAGTTGAAATTGATTATGACGTCATAATGGATCTAGCACCAAAAAAATAGTCTCAAGTTATTTACTAGATCTTGACCTTATATGGCTATTGTTATAAATGCGCACAGAGGATCTTACCACGAGCAACTGACCAATCGTTGGAATGAATAGCAACGTTTACGCCAAATACATGTTTACATTTTACTTCGAACACGCGGTTCATGTCAATGGAATACAAAATAATAAAAAAAAAATGTTCTTAAGAACAAAATACAAAGATAAGAAACTATTAAAGATGTTACGGGCGTTTTTAATTTATTGTTTAATGGAAAAAATGTTTAATAAAATGTAGTTCGTGTCTAGTTCAGACCACCAGCGCTTCAAGGGTAAGGAAAACGAGCAGCATCTCTTATACATTTAAATGGACAAAACTTTGTTTACGTTCGTGATCACGTGTTTGGCCAGGGAATCCTTCTGGCAATTGTATTTACCGATAGTACGACAAAGGAATTAATACAGACGCAAATCGCATAGCAGTATGACTTTCAGAAACGTAGACTTCCACCGTTTATTGAACAAATGAATTGTTTGTCATTATGAGCATGCACATAATATATTTTAAAATGCTTTTTTATTTACAATAAGATTTTCCTTTTTTTTCAAGCGTAAAATTCCTGTAGTATTCGTAGTAACCCATAATGCAACACTTATTCAGCTGATTGGTCAGTTAAAATCATGTTGGTGCCTCATTCGCTAATCTGACGCCAAAAAATATAGTCCCGGTTCCCATGCAAAAATATTTTTACAGAAAGAAATTTTAATTCATGACTGCAGAAAATTGTATTATAGAGAATACTTATTTAAGTTTGAATGAATGTAAGAGAGATCGATTGATTGAAGTACATTGCTACAGACATTATCAACTGATTCTAGGGTGGTAAAAACTGAAACGCAACATAACTTTTCTGTTTACCATGTCTCCACGTGCTAGTCACTTCCTAGCCACATTTCCGTGAATAATTTACCCTATCTCGCTGAAGTCTCGCTAGCTCTCGCCAGAGCTACTCTGAACTCATCAGGTCTTATAATTTGCAGAGCATCGAAAAATAAAAGGTTCCGAACACATTAGTAGGGGTGTGAATGTCTACAACAATAACATCTAAATTGGAAGGTATATAAATGACCAATAACTCCATTATTTTGTTCAAAAAGATACTTAATAACTTAATATGATTGCATTAAATAACCATTTTTTTAAAGTTAAGAAATACAAAAGGGATTATCATTAATGATTTTTTATTAGTGAAATATATGAGACGAAAAATATTATGGATCTGACAAGGAATAAAATTTTGTGAAGAACGACAGAACGAAAAACGACAAATGGTGGCTAAATTAGATGTGATGCAATACAGAATCAGAATTTTGTTCTAAAGTTTTGAAACAAATTCAGTCACTTGTAATTAAACTTTAATGTTCAGAACGTTTTTAGATCACCTTTTTCGTCCGTCGTCGTGCGTTGTGCGTCGTGCGTTAACTTTTGAACATTTACAGCTTCTTCTCTGCAACTACTCAACGAACTTTAACCAAATTTTACATAAAGCATTTATAGTGAAGGGGAACAAACATTGTGAATTTCATGGTCCCTGTCCCCCTGGGGCCTGAGGGGTGGGACCAAAACCACTAAAATTAATGCAATCTTTAAAAATCTTCTTTACTCCTGGACATAAAGCAGTCAAACTGTTTGCATGATTGTAATCAGCATTGAGTCCTCTACCAAAATTGTGAAATTCATGGCCCTGGGGTCAGGGGTTCTAGTGCTTGGGCTGGACTAAATAGATTATATAGTGAAAATGCATTATTTCTCTGAAAATCTTCTTCTTTGCTCCAGGGCATTAAATAACTAAATAAGTATATAGTTATGTTTAATAAGACTGCCTCTTCCAAAATTGTGAATTTCATGGCCCCAGGGTCAGGGGTTCTTAGCTGCTAGGGCGGGACTTTATAGATTATATAGTGAAAATGCATTTTTTCTTTGAAAATCTTCTGCTCTGCTCGTCTGCTCGTGGGTATTTAATAAATAAACCAAATACATAGTTATGTTTAATAAAGCTGCCTCTTCCAAAATTGTGAATTTCATGGCCCCGGGGTCAGGGGTTCTGGTGTTAGGGCGGGGCTCTATTAATTATATAGTGGAAATGCATGAATTCTTCGAAAACTTTTTCCTTTGCTCCTGGGTATTATGCCAATGTTCTAAGTACGTTTTAATGATGATGAAAGGTGCATCTTCCAAAATGGTTAATTTCAGGTCCCCTGGGTCAGGGTACGGGGGGTGGGGGTTGGGTTTGCATAGTCTGAAAATAAATGAATGCTTTGAAATCTGCTTTTTGGTATTAATCAGCCATTTATGATGAAATAAAATTGATAATGAAATTTCCTAAATTTTGAAATATGTGCTCGCAGGGTCAGAGGTTCCTGTGGGGTTGAGTGCACAACTGGTTATAAAGTGGAAATGCATTTTCTCTTTGTTACTCTGATCTACCTCTGGGTATAAAGTAACCGAAGTAAGCAAGTAAAGTGTATAGTTTTGATAAGCAATAGTGCCTCTTTCAAAATTTTGAATTTCATGGCCTTTGATTTAAACGCGGACCAATTCAATTGTTGGAAAGTTGTTACATGATACTCAGGTGACCTATAAGGCCCGTGGGCCTCTTGTTTATTTCTTATATTTGTAAACGGACTTCTATTCTTAAAGCTGACATGAATTCTTAAAAACGCAACATTTTCATCTATGTACGACTTGTTTCATAACAACTATAGCCGTATTCCTCCATATTTCTTTCAGATACCTTGTCTTATTGTAACGGTATATACCCCAATGCGCTCGTTACACTTGAATGATTTTTTGGCTTGGGTATCGACCTGTGCACATCTCCGATGGTAAAGCATATGAGAACATATGAGGTGATGAAGACATTTCAAAACCACAATAAACAACATAATAATCATATTTTTGAATGATTATTGATTTGAATCAACAGTAAAAAAGAAAAAAATGCAAGTTTGGAAGAGAAATTTAGCTGAACGTGTACGTATTTTTACAGTGCGCCAATTTATGCAGAATAAACTTGAAATAAAAAGCAGTGAAATCCGCAAACACATTTTGAAATTTTGAAATTATTATCATTTGAATGGAACAAAACAACCAACGTCTTTGATTTGCAGGTCCTATGCAATTGATGCATATCGAGAAATCGCCTCGAACGCTGTAAACGTACCCATACCTGATAATAAGGTTACTGCATCGGTTCGAAGATGTGCACAAGTCAAGTAATATACACCCTGAATTCCATTTATTGAAATATGCATCACAAAAATGAAATAAACTCCATAAAAGCTCAATAGTAAACACACTGTCACTACTCCCTTCAGAGTCCGTGCTGATCAGATTTTGGTCAGAAAATATCACAAGTGGAAAGAGAAGTTATTTGGTATTTTGGTATTTGTGTGGCTGAAAGGGGGGGGGGGTATTATAATTGCTGTTCATAAGGTATAACTGTAAATTGTCTATCTACGTGTAGCTCTAATATACATGTACATTCTATACAAAGTCATGTATATAGTCTGCACAGTTGGTTTGCGGCGCAAAATTCATTTGTCAATTATAACTGATTATTTTAGTACTAATCTCAAATCTAAACCAAGTAATTTGATGTACAGTAATTATTTACTTCAAATCTTATAAGCAATTAATCAGAATACAAATTTTTATGTGTACATCTATACGTTCTTTAACACAAACGCGGAGAAAAGCCATCCCCTCTTCAGATTGACATTTAGGAATTTGAATTTTTGAGGGGGGGGGGAGGGGGGTGGGGGGCATGCAAAAATAATTGACATAACCGTTATTTAAATATTCTTGGAAGACAGAATTTCTGCAGAATTCAATTTTGAGATTTTTTACAAATGTGTCACTCCGACCACAAAGTATGTGCATTTTGAGGAACGTAACTGTTTTATAATTATGTTGTTACAGGAAGTATTTCGAGATTTCAGTATCCCT